CTTGCAAATGATATCTCCTGAGATGAAGCAAGCTTCATAAGCCAAAGAAGCTCTAGGCGGCTGGTAAACTAACAATTCGCACGGCGAGCTAGGAACACAGACGGGTTGACGAGACAGTGAATGGTCTAAAAATGGTGTATGACAGTTAATTTTATCATATTTCGATTTTGAATTAATTATTTTATGCGAAAGGTGACACGAAGCTAAAGTATATCACTCCTTGTTCGGCTGCATCGACATCCTTTAAATAAGAACGTAAGAAAGTAGGTCGGTTTTGTACATTCCCTTCATGCTGAGGCTAATATATTTACCAAACAAGGTCTGTGTTGAAACCTTTTACCGGCTAAAGCAGTCATTAACACTATCATAATCACAAAAAGCAATGCAGAACCGTTAAATATATTCGAAGCTGAAAATATGCACAAATGTATACTTTTGCGTTAATTAACATGCACCGGAATAGAGATAAGCATGCAAGCTGGGAGTGCTAACTGCTCCGTACCAACATTTGGTGAAGAGCAGTTGCCAAGTATTTTCCACCCAACCCAAACAACTTCCATTCGAATCCTGGTGGAGATACTGGCGACCCTTGGCTGACAACACGTGTCCACATGGAAATGTTCAACTCTCTGACCAGCTCCATTAATCACATCCTAAAGTACCGATGATCAGAAGAAATGCCACAAGAATAACTCGAGATGTATCTATTATTGCTATTTTTACGTTCAAAAGTAGAGTTTCAAGAATATCAGTAAATCGGTAATATGGGATGTATTCATTCTTGGGTCACAGGGCAGATGTGAATTTTAAGGAAGGCCAGGCATTTTCCCATATCATATTTTTGGGTGGGATTGTCGATGAAGCAAAGTTATGACAATCGACTACATTTCCCATTTTTCGTTCATAAGTAGGGGTTCGAGACTAATAATAAGTCAATTATATGAGATTTATTCACCCTATTTCTTTTAAAGTAAAGGAGGACTGGTAGTAATATTTTCTCACATCTACCTTATAATACAAGGCTACTCGTAGAAATTTGGCGCAGTGGTTAACGTGTCGAGATAGCACGCTGCTCTGTCATGGTTCGACTCCCGCTTGCGGTGTTTATAAGACCTGGGCGAGGTCGAAACTGAAGTCCACCTCAGCCTGGATGAGAACACTTTTTGGGAAAGCAGGACTATGGGAAATTCAATGGAAGTGTCAGCTCTACTCATATCATTTTTGGAAAAGCTCAACTACCAGTCCTTCATTACCTCAAAGGAGATAGGGTGAATACGCCTCAATTATTACTATCCGTTTGTGCCTGGCGAGATGTTGCTACCAGCAAAGACGTCAAGCAATTATGACTTAATGGGTCAATTTGATAGGAATATATTCAAGATGTAGAGTTTGGGTAAATAACTAACTAGAAGTAACTTTTCTTTGTTTTCTCGACTTGGTCTTATTTTCAGGCAGACCTAGAAAAACGAACTTTGACCGGACCCATTAGTTTCCAGCATATTTACCAGATTTGGACCGTGGAAGTGGTACACTCACAGATGTTTTGCTGGCATCGTAGACGACGTCATCAGTGGACCTTGCCATTATTAAGACCAACCTACAACTCGTCAAACGGACAGCTGAAGCTGACCAATTGTTTGCCGAACAGTTGTAGTATCTCGTCTCCTGGCCAGGTACGTTCACATATGGCTAGCTATAACTTAGTATCACCCTCTCTTCTACCGCAATTTCTGGTTTGCTTCTTCTAAACTAATTCAGTAGTACTCTTATGTACGATCTATTCACACTTACCGTCGGTTCTCTCATCCTTCCCTCATTTTGCTGGGTGTGTGTGGACTCGGATCAACACTCCCAGCAAATTGGAGAGAGGATGTGGGAACCAGTGGTAAGGGTGAATGGGTCTCACTTAGACCGCTCAAAAAAGCATACCGGGATTAGGTTGAAATAAGCAAACTAAAAAGTGTGATAGAAAAGGAGGTGATAATAAGATATAAAAACTGTGAACGTATGGCGAAGCAAGAAGAAAGACCTCAACTGTTGTCTTTTTGATGAGTTAAGGTGTTGTGCTAAGAGTGGAAACGCTCACTTACGATGCCAACTATATATATATATATATATTGCTTATAAACATTTTTTTCTTCGTTTGGTAAGTATGCCTTCGAGACTATCTATAGATTATATAATCATGATATTCGTTCACCGTACTTGGTTTTTGGTGAGGTCAAAACGGCAGACCAGTCCAGCCTTGAGGGGGATATCTTTAGGGCAATCAAGGCTATGTGAAATTCAAAGAAACTCTCATGTCTACTTATTTATATTTTTCGAATTAAGTATTGTTTTCGTGACTACCAGTAAATCAGTAATATGAGATGTATTCA